CTAAAAGCCAACGATACAAAAGACCGACTCGTACCCGAGTCAAATAATACCAAAGCAGATACAGAATTCACAAGGAAAGTACCTACGCATATCATAATATAAGCACAATATCTTAGCATAAAAGTAAATACACGAAAGAATACATACCAGTTATGACATCAGGCGCCGCGCGGACCTCCTCCGCAGTCAACTGAAAAGCTCTCCCACGAGCCTTTGGAGCCTCGGCTTTCACCGACCGAGTCTCGGTAACCCTGGCAGCAGGCGCAGATCCCTGGCGAAGCTGGGGGCACTCGGCCTTCCGATGGCTGATCTGGTTGTAATGAAAGCAAACCATGAATCCCTTGGGGAAATCCCTAGCAATGTGCCCCTCCTTGACACACTTGTAGCAAGCACCCGATCGACATGCCCCCTCATGACCCTTGCCGCACTTTCCGCAAGTGCGGCCCTTCTGTCCTTCCGTCCTCAAATCGGCGGACTTGGTCCGCTTGGCTGCCGGCCGCCGATCCACCCGTTGAGACTCGGCCTCCTCCCTAGCCTGGGTCTCCAACTCGATCTCTTGCTTCCTGGCATTCGCCTGGAGCTCAGCAAAATTCTGGTATGACGAGTTCGATACGAACTCCCGGATATCCCTCCTCAGCACACCCAAATATCGGCTCATCCGAGCCTGCTCCGTGGACACCTGCTCAGGGCAAAACATTGCCCTCTCATGAAACTTCCGAGTGATCACTGTAACAGAATCATTACCCTGCTTGAGGGTCAAAAACTTCTGAACCAGCCGTTCCCTCTCCACCGGGGGAACATACTCGTCTCTGAACATAGCAGTAAATCTCTCCCAAGTCACGGCTGAAACCTCCGCAAGAGTGAAGTTCATCGTCACGAACTTCCACCAATCCTTTGCTCCCAGGCGGAGCTGGTTCAAAGCGAACCGTACCCTCAGATGCTCCGGACATGAACAAGTGTAGAAGCATCCCTCGATATCAGCAATCCATCTCATCGCAGCGATCGGATCCTGCGTCCCGTCAAACTCGGGTGGCTTCGTGTTGCTGAACTCTCGGAACAGCAACGAGTCACCTCCCTGTGGTCTGGCAGCGGCCACAATTGCGGTAGCTGCAGCGGCTGCGGCCTCAGTCACTGCGGCATACCGCTCATCAAAAGTCTCCATCAGTGTGGTCTTAATAGACCAAAACATCTCCGGAATCTCAGCCTGGATCGCTGCAGCCACCTCCTCGTGAATCATCTGACGAAGCTCCTCGTCACTCACACTACTCGTACTAGGTCTGTGGCGTCGTCCAACCATGATGCCTCTGAAATACGACATAAAAATATTAGAGACTCCATCGAGCATAAACGCACTCGATAATGCAACCCTACTCAGTCTTTGATACCCAAGGATTCTTACTTGGGTTGCCCACTGACCCAGTGTCTTCAATAGTACGGGCCCAATACTACCAACTACACCGCATTAGCATTCACCCCAAGTCCTCCTCCCCGAACCCCGAATCATGAGTACTCTATTTTTGCTATGCACTAGCTACCCACTCGCTCTCAAAGCATCTCATAGCAGTAGTTTTCCCTAGACTATGGCATCACAAATCGGGCCACTCTAGTCCAAATATGAATACCTAGTCTACTAGCATGCGTATCATATCATAACATATCTCATAACACATATTGTAAGAGTATTTTGGGGATTTTACCATTCGGGCGCTGGCTGACCGTACACACTGCTTCTCCTTTGGTTGTTTCAAAATTTCTTATTAAATTTTATTGCTTTTATTAATTAAAAATTTCCTCAATTCCCCGGTTTGAGTTCAGTTACGCCTGAAGGTGTATCCGAATCCCTCAAACCAAGGCTCTGATACCAATTTGTAACAACGTAAATTTAAAACAAAATTTTCATTTTTGTAAGCATCAAAAACCATCAATTCATGTTTCAAATTCAAACTTGAACAATGTTATCATAATATAATACATCCCAATGATCATACGCCTTTCCAGGCCCGGACCTTCCGGTCCAAGTGTCTCAGGGGACTTCCGTCTCGACTAGGTAGACCTTCTGGTCCTACCCACATCAACCTTACGGTCCACATCACAATGCCTTCCGGCCCATAACATATTCGCCTTCCGGCACATAACATAATGCCTGCCGGCCCATATTAAGCATATCATACAGGGCACATATACACGATTAACTTATCACACGCAATACATATATCTCATAACATATCCGACCTTCCAGTCACACAGTCAAACCCTTCCGGGTACAGTATAGTGAGAAAAGTCACCTCGTGGAATGTCTAAGATCTCGCGTCCTCACTATCTCCAAATCTCAACGACGACTCTACCTCGCCTAAACATAAAAATATCATTTAATACTCAGAGACTTCCACCACTAAAACTTTACCCCTTATCATCATTCCTCAGAGGGTAAAAGACCATTTTACCCTTCCTTGACCTAAAGTCCTCATGTTGACCAAAACCCTAAAAGTCAACAAAAGTCAACCCTGAGAGTACGCGGGGCGTACTGCTAGATGTACGCGGGGCGTATATCGCTAACCCATGGATCGGGGTCTCCACCCAGTACGCTGCGCGTACTGGAAGTTACACCCAGCGTAACCATCAGATTCTAACACTCTTCATTTCTGGTCTTAATCGGTTAAGCCATTACTCCAACTTCTAGATCTAACTCTGTTAATGTGTCTAAACCCATAAAGTCGAGACCTTTAAGCCTTGGCATGGCTGTAAAGGCTCCAACATCTCTTAACAACATTCTATTCCAACTCAAGGACCTATATCTCATGCATGGAGCAATATTCACCTCCAAGATGTCATTTTTATGACTCTACAACTCCAATAGACCATAAATATAAAAGATCTAAGCTTATGGAGGCCATTTGCACAAAAAGTCTCCACCTTTGGGACTAAAACCCTAGAAATGGTACTTGAAGCATATAACATGAGCCAAGTGACAAGATCCGAACTTTTTACCTGATAATGAAGCTTTAACCCTTGCAAAGCTCAGATCTACACTTGAACACCACTTCTAGCCTTTCCAATGAGCTCTTCTTCTCCTTTGCAACCTTGGAATGGCACCACCAAGCTTATAATATACACCAAATGGCTTAAGAACGAAGGCACACTCTATTTAGGGTTTCACTCTGAGGGATGGTGGCTGAGAAGTCCAGCCACACATTCCTTTTATAGCCCTCCAAAGGAATTAGGGTTTTTAGATCTGGGCAAGTTACGCCATGCGTAACCTTGGGTACGCCCAGCGTACCTGAGGGTGAACGCGTCCAAATGAGGCGCGCGAGTACGCGCAACATACATCTTGTACGCCCAGCGCACTCGCTTATCATGAAAACCCTAAAATGACAACATAACCAAAATAGAAGAATACCTGGATTTCGGGCTGTTACACATGTTACCGGTTTAAGGGTCATCGCTGACGTGTATTGGCTTATGTGGACAAGCATTTGGTCATGTCATCTTTAACGTGGAAACCTTCCTTAATTGAACCTTATATTGAACCATCGAGGATACATTGTTACCCAAATTAGGTCAGTGCCTCCCTCCCGATACTCTACACTCAATCGATATAAACAGAACGATGTCTGGCTCTTCCAGTCGATCAATCAACCTCCTGTGTGTTGGAAACCTTCGTGATGATGACCCCTGTCCAGCTTGCAATTGTCAAGATGCAATAAGCGTGGAAAGGACTGCCTGGACTGATGATAATGTAGCTCGCAAGTTTTGGAACTGCAAAAACTCTTTGGTGAGTATTCCTTTTGTTTACTTACACCGTATTTTTTATTTTGAGCTGGAAAGTACGCATTTTCATTAATTGCAACCCTAACCATAACTCTGGTTTTCTCTTTTAATTAGTTAGCTGAACGTCCAAAATGCAAGTTCTTTATGTGGAAAGACAAAGAAATGGAGGAGGTTTACTACAAAGAACAGCTTCGCAAGATGAGGTTTGAGCTGAAAAGGAAAGAAGAGTTTAGTTAAGTTTCGAAGGTTCAAAAGAAGTTGGTTAAGCTGCAGAAAGCTATGGAAGCAGATAAGCAAGTGTTTGAGACATAGTTGATGGAGTTGATGAAGCAAAACAGAATGTTGAAGTGTGGGATCTTTGTTATGGTAATTATAGTCATTGCCATGTGGTTGAAATGGACTTGAAAAGTGCAGCAGATCAAATAGGTGTTTATGGTTGATGGTATATAATTCCAACCAGTTTTTTGGAAAGTATGGGTGGATGTTAAAAGTTATTTGCTTTTTTGGGAAGTGTATGGATGCATGGGTGTATGGGTACATGGTCATGGTTAGATCCTAGTTGTAATGTATAGTCAGGTTTTTGGTTGAATGCTTATTTGATCAGTGTGTGTATGGGATGTTAGATGTAATGGAATGTAGATGTAATGGGATGGTAGTACATGGGAGCAGATGTAATGACTAATTGTTGATTTAATGAATGATATGAAAGATCATAGTTATGATATACCTTGCTGAATTTTATAATATGCATGTGCTCCTTTTTAAAGTGTGGGTACCACATTGTCGGCCATAAGGAACTCACTTGGTCCGTTTAAAAGTGCATTGTGTTTAGAGTTCTGTGCAGGGGTATATGGAAAAGTAAGGGTTAGTAAGGGTATATGGACCACTGACCACATGTGGTATATAAGAACATAATCAATCATAATTTTAAATTTTAAATTATCTATATATGCAAATATATTCCCTTACCATGCAGTTTAACAAGACAAGTCCTTGGCATGAATGTAACTTCAAATTAACACAACAAAAAGCTCAAAATAACAATCAACTTAAGTAACACAAAATACACATCACATAAACCAACATAGTTTCATACAAACTATCACAGTTAATAGTAGTTTTATAAAAACAACAACACACCAAAACACATCATTTCACACTACATACCATGTTCATATCACATAAACCAACACTTAAAGTTATTCTAGAGTAACAGGTTTAGCTTATGAATTCTAAGGTGCATCTACACCACCAACTTTCTTGCCCAGCTTCAACTTGATAATCCTTTCAGATTTCTTCCTCCTGAATTTCTTTAACAGGGTTGCAAGTGGTGTTTCTATAGCCTCCTGTTCTTGCACATGAACCTGAATAGGTTCTCCATTTGCTGATGCATCAAACTCCAAAGGAGTGAGTTCCACCTCATCATAGTCTTGTTGCACATGCACCTCATTGACTGCTTCTTAACCATCATTTACTTCTCCTCCATCATCATTTGCTGCTTGATCACCCTCATTCACTTCATCACCTTCATTCATTGCATTAGCTTGATTACCTTCATCATCCTCATTGAGTGCTTCAGCTATACCCTGATTGACCAATATGAAACATTATTAAAAATTTAAAAATAAATTGTAAAGATTAACCATTTAAATACTTATTTACTTGTTTTGTTTTTCTACTAGCTTTGGTTTTAGGAGGTCTTGTTAAAGTACAAGCTCTTTTGTTATGTCCTTCAACCTTACAAAGGCTACATTTTTGTTTTTTCCCAGCCTTGGATACCTTCACCTGCTCCTTACCTTTGTTTTGCATTTGGGTAGTTTTCTTTGATTTTTTACTTGAATGGTTTGGGGTTTCTGTTGCATCCCTTTTCCTTTTCGTTGCAGGTCTCCCAGGCATAGTTCTACGAACAAGAGGTAAAGGTGGTGTGTAATCAATTGCAGGCCACAAATTACTTTCATTCATAGGTGTTAACCTAAACTTGTATGCCTTCATGTAAGTGATGCTACTAAACATTTTGTCCACATATGACTCTACATCCCTATTCATAAAACTAATAGCTGCAACTGAATGGACACAACCGATTCCATTAAGCTGCCAAAACCTAGATGAGCAAGTTCCTTCTTCAACATCCACTTCATAAGCATCTGTAGTTCGTCTTACTTCAAACTAATTTAGTCCACTAGGTAAGACTTGCTAATGTCTTAGACCCTTCTTAATATCGTTCACTATTTCTCTAATTGTTGAAAAAAATTTGGTTGCCCCATCCTTGACCCTTGCATTTCTTCTTGAACACCCTCTCCATCATATACATCCTCAACTCCTCTAGCATGGTGATAATTGGTTTCTTCCTAGCATCAACAATCACAACATTAAAACTTTCTGACATTCCATTCTCCACAACATCACACCATCTTCTTGGTTGGAAGTAGGCCCTTGACCATGTTTTGGGGACTTTGTCCATCAGATACTGACGAGCACTTGGGTCTAGCACTTCAAGATCTTTCATGACAACCTTAAAATCTACCTCTGTTGTTGCTTTACATGCCTTCCATAATATGCTTTCATATTGGGCACCACTATACCTTTTCCTAAGGTTTTGGCTAATATGCTTGGCACACTGCCTATGCTCTACATATGGAAGGAGTTCTTTCACAACCTCAATCAAACCCTGTTAACAAATTCCAAATATAGTGAATAAAGATGAAAATAGATATGAAAATTAATTACAAGCAATTAAATTACCTTGTGTTGATCCGATATTACATTGTATCCATAGCCCAAGTTAAGTCCCAAGTCATCAATGAGTAAATCCAAAAACCACCTCCAATTTTCCTTATTCTCCACACATACTACTGCGCATGAAATAGGATAAATCCTATTGTTTGCATCCCTTCCAACATCACATAATAACTCCCCTTTGTAGATCCCTTTAAGGAAACAACCATCTAAACCTATTATCTTCCTGCATCCCTCCTTCCACCCCTTCTTCAATGCATCAAAGCAAACATAGAACTTACTAAAGTAGTTCTTCCCATGTGGCATATGATTTACATCAAGCTTCACAATGCTACCTGGATTTAATCTCCTAATCTCTTCTGCATACGACCATAACTTTGCATAATGTTCAACTAGGGTACCATCTATTAGTTGGAGTGCGTATTTCCTAGCTCTCTTGCATTGACCAACACTAACAAGAATACCAAAATTCTGTGATACAGCTGCTCTTAGCTTTCTAACACTCATATTTTGTCTAAGTAAGAACTCTCTTGTATAATGACTCCTTATCCAAGCATAAGTGACCATGGACCCTAACTTGTAGTTCCTTGCACATTTGTGAACTGCCTTTAAAGACTTAATTTGGAAGCTTGATTCATCACTCATCCAAGATGCCCACAACCTGAATGTGCACTCACCCTTGCAACACTTAACCAACAATCTTTTCCTATCATTTTTCTCAAAGCAAAGTTGGTACCCATTCGCAACAGCATAGTTGCATAACATTGATTTTTAATTGAGATGGGTCTTTGAACCTCATACCAAGTATTGGGATATGCTTTTTCAATGGAACTAACTCATTAAAAATGGAAAGTTGTTGAGTTACATTGGCATCCTCTTCATGCCCATCATCATCATCATCATCATCTATGTTGTTATCATTCCCCACTTCCTCTTCGCCACATAATCTATTTAGAAATTCATCACCCTTTGTCCTATTCATAGTGATTATGTCCTCATTAAAGTCCACATCCACATTTGTTAGGTAATCAATTTCATCCTCATTCTCACCACCATCAACGTAAGAATCATCTCCACCCTCCTCTTCTATTTCAAAACCAAACCAATCTTCTATTACTTGACCATCATGGTCCACATACATACAAATTTTACCATCTATCCTATATGTTGAAAAATGAAACCACCATAGTCTTCATCATTAGCGATAGCAGTTATCCCAGATATTAAGAGCTTACCTGGTTTACAATAGTATAACTTCTTTATACTTTCTTGCATGAACTGTTCGAGAAAGGTGATACATTCACCGTAAGTCATTCCAGAAAAATCGTGATCATTGAAAGTGAAATTGATACCATGGTTATATGAGTAAGGATTTCTAAGAAAACACCTTTGAAGTTTAGCTCCACTATAGGGTGGAGTCCATCAGGGTTTGGCGTCGAGCTAGACATTGTGGGTTGGTTGACTGCTCATTGACTTCGATTGGAGAAAACGACTTTGAACCCTAGGTTTAGTGCTTCGTATTCATTGTAAGATGAGAAAAAGAAAGAACGAAGAAGGAGTGTTCTGGCTAAATAAATGTGTTTATTTTGACCTCTAAATCCTACATGGATAAAATAAATGACATATATAATGTAAACTTATTCCACGTAAGCAATATCACCAGTTGTGAAAGACCCCGACTTTCATATTTATGAAAGACCCAAAGTTTCATACTATTTCAAAAGATTTCTTAAGTTACTTCCTCAAAACATGCTACATGCATATTTATAAAACAATATTTTATATTGATAAAGTGATTAAAAAGGATTGGATACAAACCGACTAAGTTTTGTTACAATTTCATGTCTACCCAGGAATCTACTATTCATATACATACATGAACATTAAAAATACAGAGAAATACTATTAACTATTCTCTAAATCTTTCAGCAGTATAAAGCTATATTGGAATACTCATCACCTGCAATTGTTAAATATTGAGAGGAATAAGCGATAACGCTTAGTGAATTCAATAGATAGATACTATATAATCTTATGCCTTACATATACCAATATGACAGAAGCAGAAGGGAACAAGAAGACATATGTGAAATCATGTGACAAGCGTTCATATCAATCAAAGACTTTATTCAAAGATATACTTTTCAATGAGACATAATGATTTCAATACTTGATATGCATCAATAAAGCTTTGGCCCAATTGGCACAGAAGACATACAATTTTGATTAACATTTTGGTAGATTTCATACTTATAGCCCTGTCTAACCATTTGCCAATACCATAGAATAAAGTTCATTCTCTTACGGAGTCATGCTCTACATGGTCAGAGGCTACATATCATTCCTATCAAACCTTATGCCAATGCCATAGAATAGAAGTCATTCTCTTACGGAGACATGCTCTACATGGCCAAAGGCTACGTACCAGTACCAATGTGAATCTAAGTCCTTTCACTGATCACATGGTCAAAGGTATTATATTTGCTATAAACATAGCGAATAAAATAACACGGGAGAATAACTCAGAATAACAACACTGAGAAGCACATAGCACATATAACACATAACATACAATTGTTCCTATGTATTGAACTCACCTTAAGTTAACCGGGGGTTAAAATAGTAATTTAGACAGCATTTCGGCTTTAAATATGTCTTTCTATGTTGAAAACCGGGAGCTTAATTGAAAACCGGGCTCTGCGAAGGTAGGGCTTCAAAACCAAAAAGATAAAATTTGCGGGCTTCTCGGGGGGTCTTGGGACGTGTTTCGGGTGCTAAAATTGATATCGGGGCTTCGGGAAAAGTCAAAATAGTGAAAATATGGAAAAAAAGGGGCCAAAAATGGCAATTTCTCCAAATTACCCGAGAAGGTTCGCAGGCCTCCTATTTATAGGTGAGAGGCTTGAATCCTGTGGTTGAGAAGCGAGCACGTGGCTGCTGGAGCGAAGGCCATGAAGCTCGGACGTGGGGGGTGACGAAGCTGCTTGATGGTTCGGACGTGGCTTCTTCGTGCGAGGGCCATATGCGAGGCGTCTTACAAGGCGTCTTAAACGTCTCCTAGGACACTGAAAGGCGCGTCGGAACCCCATTGGGCCACACTTCGGACAGCACACCGGTGATTAAGCAGCTCCGGTACGCGAGGCGAGGTGACGTGGCTGCTTCTCATCCATGCGAATTCTTCGGAAATTGAGCTCCGAACTTCAAAAATCCATAATTTTCGGACACAAGCTCCGTTTTTTACGTTCTTTATATGCACGCGTAACTAAAATTACTCTCTACAACTTTCGTTTAGACTTCGTCGGCTAATTTTGACTTTATTTCTAATATTATTATTTTTAACAGACCAGGACAGGAAAATCCGTTAAAAATTCATAACTTCTTCATCCGACATCCGTTTTCGTCAGACTTTTTACCGTTGTACTACAAATGACGAGACCTTCGATTCTCATTTAGGATGTATCGGTCAAATATCGTTCGATCTAAAAGTCGAGTTTTTAGTTGTCTACTGCTAAGTTGAAACTTCGAAAAATCATAACTTCGTCATACGAAGTCAGATTTTGGCGTTCTTTTTATCGAATTTTTCGGTTTAACGAATAGTACGAATTTCATTTAGATTTCTAAGTCTAAAAAGTAGTTTATCAAAAACTCGCTTTTTATATCATTCGGCGCCGTGCCGGTTTTGTCGCGGATCTTCGGTTGGTCATAACTTCTTCGTTATAACTCGGATTTCGATGAGGTTTTCGCCTACAAGTTTCTAACGAGATAATTTACAACATCAAATAATAAAATTTTACTTATTTCAAATTTTATATTTTTGTTAAATTTCACTATTTGACTATTAATTGGAATCTCATAAGACTTCCAATATTTTATGAGTGATTCTAAACATAGTTTTACTTCATTTCTAGTAAAAACTAGCTGTTAGAACTCTACACTCAATTTTATTCACTTTTAATAATAACAATACACAATTTCAGAACGTGTATGTTACAAATACCTCCTCCTTTTGAGGATTTCATCCCCGAAATCATAACGATTAAAACAATTAGGGATACTTTACTCTTATTTCATTCTTATTTTTCCCAAGTATAATTTGGGCCTCGATGGTGCTTCCACTTGACAATCACCAACTTCATTTCTTTATTACGTAAACTAGTCGTTCTTTCATTTACAGTCTCTTCTATTCATCCCGGATAATAGAACCATTTCATCATATATGCTTAACGTTTACATAGATAGCACACATGAAACATTTCATGAATATCTGTCAAATTTTCAGGCAATTCCAAGCAGTATGCTTGCTTACCAACCGTTCTTTCTTCCAAAGTAGTATAACGCCTTTTCATGAAATACTTTCAGTATTACTAAATCATCCACCCGGAATTCTACGGGTAGTCTCCTCTTTTCTGCATACGGAATTTATCGATCCTGGGCCGCTTTCATTCTTTCTCTGGAAATTTATATCTTGTTAGTGATGTCTTGAATCATTTCAGATCCTCTAAAGATCTTCCATCTTACATCACGTCAACATATTTGAGTATGACATTTACGCTCATACAGTACTTTATATACCTTCGGTATATTTTCTACTGTTTGGATTGCTCTCTTCTTTTGACCATTTGTCCAAGGATGATAAGTTGTACTAAGAGCAACTCGAGATCCTAATTCATGCTTCATTCTCACCCAAAAGTGAGGAGTGAAACGAGTATCACGGTCGGAAATAATTTATAGTGGCGCATCATGACTTGCCATAGTTTTGTCTAAGTAACTTTCGCGTATTTCTCCAATGGAGTCGTTTTACGTGTGGCGAGAATATATGCACTCTTCATCAGCCGGTCGATAATTATCCAAAGGTTATCATTCACAGTTTTCTTCTCCTCTTTCAAGGTATTAACTGTATAAGCCGGATAAGTAGAATATCCCTTCGACATAATTTACGAGTTTTTAAGAAAGAAATTTATTATTTTCACCGTAGACATAAATAGAATCTTCCCTTCCGATAGGGATGCATATCATCTCCTTCTAGAACAAGAGCTTTGTGTGGTTCTTTAATAACCATTCCATATCAAAGATAGGAATTAGGTTAGCAGGAAGATTATAACTTTCAATTCCTATAACACTAACTCTATAGGCTTTATCAGCAAGTAACGATATATTTCCTACGTTATCTATATGAAATGATTGGACAACTGCGTAATAAGCAATTTGAAAAGAATATGCGATTTTATAAGGCACGAAAGAATCTGAGGCATTGAAATCAAACAAGATGTGAGTAGATCTAGAGTTTACGAGAAAATTACTAGTCACAACATTCGAGTTTTTAACTTACTTCCTTTGTGGTAATCTAAAATGTACGATATGTAGCTTTTAGTTTGCCAAACGATTGTCAAATTCTTCAAACTTCCTAATTACTGGCGGTGTTCAAATTTGTAGCCGCTCTTCATTCTCTATTGAACATTCGATCTTAATCTTTGAGTTAAAACTCAATTCTCATTGCAGATTCCTGCTCCTTCTTGGTTTATAAAGTAAACCCAATATAAGGTCTTTACTTTTGCTATAACGACAACTCGAATGGTCATATTCTATTGACCTTTGATTTTATCTTGCACAAGACACATAACGATCCAAACTCTTGTATTAGAATCAGATCGAATAAATCGAGCTGATAGAATAACGAAAACAAAAAGAGTTTGATCAATACGTAGATGCTTTAGAACAGAAAGAATAACACCACATATCTCTAATTCGTGCTTTCGGACCTACATATCTTTTAGCTTTTGGCACCTCCTCCTTTTTAGTTGGAGTACTCTTTGATTATTGATCGGCAACTTGACTTCCCGCCATTTGACTAGTAAGAGTAGGGCAGAAACATTTCTTGTGGCCAGTAACACCACATAACAAGTCTCATCTCTAGTTAATGATTGCTCAATTCTTTAATGAAGATTGTTATATTTCTATCGACTATCTCGACCATTTACTTCTTCAGTATTCTTACTGATGTTTTGTCACTATATAAGACATGGTTCTCTGAACCAATTAACTCCTTTCGCAGATTTGTACTAATCGGACTCGATTCTTTATTAAGATTTGAACGATAATTATCTTCTTAGTCATTACCGAAACGAAGGTAACGACACACAT